AGAATTCACCACTGCCACCTCCAAAATGTGGGAAGACTGAAAGAATATTTGCAACTTAAAATCTTCCTTCTCTCCAAGTCAGAATAAAAGAGAATTTTGATACCTCAGCAACTGGTGGACTTCAGCTCCCAGAATTCCCCAGCCAGCATGACTCACTGGGGAATTCTGGGAGTTGAAGTCCACAAATCTTCAAGTTGCTGTTTGTGATATGTACAAAGGAAGTCCTGGGGATGGGAAGACCGCGAGGGAATGTTTGCAACTAAAATCTTTCACCGGGTATCTCAGCCTCTTACACATCTCTGCCGCGGGGTGTCTTGGAGCATTAACTCAGGGGTGGCTCCGATTTGAGTAATGCTGGGAAGAAACCTATTTTAATTGGGCCTCCCTGGTCTTTCAGGGCTGGTAGGTTTTAATGCAATTCTCTCTTCTCACTTTCCTTCTGAGGTCTTGGGATAGTTGGGGGAAAGTAAAGTAAGTCTGCTGATACTTTAATCCAGGGGTGGGGAACTATGGGCCTTTTATGACTTATGGACTTCAACTCCCAGAATTCCTGAGCCATACCTCCCTCCCTCTCTCCCTCCCTTAATTCCTTCCTGCCTCCCCACCTTTCTTCCACCCTCCCTCCCTCCCTCTCTCCGTCCCTTCTCCCTTCCTCCTCTTTCCCTCCCTCTGTCCCTTCTTCCTTCCTCCCTCCCTCCCTTCATTCCTTCCTCCCTCCTTACCTTTCTTCCACCCTCTCTCTCTCTCCCTTCATTCCTCCTGTCTCCTTCCCTCTCTCCCTTCCTTCATTCCTCCCTCCCTCCTTACCTTTCTTCCATCCTCCCTCCCTCCCTTAATTCCTTCCTCCCTCCCCACCTTCCTCCCTCCCTCCCTCCTTCATTCTGTTCTTCTCCCTCCCTTCTTTTTCTCCTCCACTCATTTCTTCCTTCCTTCCTTCTTTTCTTTTTCTTTCTCTTTCTTTCTCTTTCTCTTTAATTTTCTTTCTTCCTTTCTCTTTCATTTCTCCGTCTTTCCTTTTCTTTCCCCTTTCTTTTTCTTTCTCCTCTGTTTCTTTCTTTCACTCTATTTCTTTCTCTTTCCCCGTCTCCCCCCCTCCCCCCCCCCCCCCAACACAGACACACTCTCCAGTTTGCCAGCTGGTTCCCTGGCGCTGAGGAGTTTCTGGGCACCTTGCCTTACCAGAATCTCCCCTTCCTGCTAACCAACCGGGAGATGAAAGCAGCCCCTCCTCCTCCTCCTCCTCCTCCTCCCCCGCACCCCCGCACCTATTTATTCAAGATTGCCTTAAGAGGGGCCGGGGGCATGTAATAACTGCCTGACACTGTATGGGAGAAAGGGGAAAGGATGTTGGCTGGGCTGGAGTGAATTTGCCCGAGTTTACCGCATCCAGAAAGGGAAAAGACAGAAGCTTCTTTCTCTTACGGTTGGAGGCCTGCTGGATAAAACACGCCCTGCCTTCAAAGCACTTGGGGAATACTTGTCCCCACAGACAATTCTGCCTCTTTGCACAGTGGAGAAGGAGAGATTTTAAGAGAACTGGAAAACTAAGTCCATCTGACATTTGACCCTCACGTTAGTTTGGATGCAGTTTTTAGCATGGATAAAAATTCAGACCTTCTTTCCTTTTCTTTTCAAGTACTTAAGCCTAGAAATCTGGACTGGCAGTTTTAGCGTAGCAATGTTATAAATACCCGCGAAAACTTAAGAAAACACATATATATGTGTGTGTGTGTGTGTGTTTTCTTAAGTTTTCGCGGGTACTTAAAACTGAAACGGCTGTGAAAGTCTGACTCACAGACGAACACAATACAGAAGCCTGATGATGGCAGATGTGATTCTGCCGAAACGTTGCTACAACTTTAAAAGCAAAACTATAATGACGTGGGAAAATACCTGAACAAAGCTGAATACCATACATATAAATACCCGCGAAAACTTAAGAAAACTCTGTGTGTGTGTGTGTGTGTGTGTGTTTTCGTAATTTTATATTGGACGGATATATATATTGGACGGGAGACCACTAGGAAATCCCAAAACGTTGGGGAACTTGGAAAGATAAGGCAGCACCCTGAAATAAAACAATGCCAAATCCATGCGCCTCTCTACAAAGTCAGGAGGAATTGTGTTGACTGGAAAGAAATGACTTGTTTTATAGTCTCCTATTTGCCCAAGGGAACGACAGTTACTCTTTTTAACTGTGCTTTTAACTATGTTTTCAATTTGTTTTTAAAAAACAGATGGTTTTTAATTGTATTATTTTATGATGTTATTTGTAAACTGCTCAGAGTCAGGTGAGATGGGTGATGTAGAAAGTAGATGGATGGATGGATGGATGGATGGATGGACGGACGGACAGACAGACAGACAGACAGATAGGCAGACAGATAGATATAGAACAATGGATGAGTGGATGGATGGATGGTAAATGGATGAAAGAGGAATGGATTGATGGAAGGATGGATGGATGATAGATATAGAATAGGTAGATAGAGGAATGGATGGAACTTAGAAGGATGGGTGGTTAGATGAATGGATGATAGACAAATAGATATAGAACAATGGATGAGTGGCTGGATGGCAGATGGATGAAAGAGGAATGGATGGATGATGGATGGATGGATGGATGGATAGATAGATAGATAGATAGATAGATAGATAGATAGATAGATAGACAGACAGACAGACAGACAGACAGACAGACAGGCACTGCATGCCTTTTGCAACAGCTAGTGCCTCTAGAGCTGCATACAGCTACGGTCCCATTGACAGACCTGGCCTTTTGCAAGGGATCAGGCTAGATTTTCGTGAGAACCTAGTGATCCTTCCAGCAGCTTGGAAGAGGAAGTGAAAAAAATCTCTCCAAAGTGCCAGGACTCTGAACAGGTAGCGGAATCGTCAGGTCATCTGTGCTAGGCCGCAAGCAGACCTACTCACTACCCGTGGAGCAACCGCATGGATTGCAATTCATGTCGTTTCATTTTAATTTAATCTATTTTTGTTGTCCCCGCTCAGCGCGTTCCCATTTCTGATATTCTGCAAACCGAGCAGAGGCTGCCTACCGCTGGGCTCAGCACCAAAGGCTGGATCGCTTGATTTGTGCAAGCTGGAAAATGTTAAGGGTTGTTTCGGTGGCGCCAAATTTTGAATGGAGAGCCTGACATTGGAAAGGATGTGGTTTGTGGATAAGAAGCGGCAGGCGGCTTTCTGTTGCAGAGGGAATGCAGAATAAAATGATGTGCATTTTCCATTTTTAAGATGACTGGGTTCTTTAACTGGGCCGGCTTTTTGTAACAGAGATGCCAGATGCCTTTTTGGCAGCAGCCGAGGAGGACACAGAATGGAGGGCAGTTTGCACGTTTGTGAGCGAGTTGGCTGAGGGTCCAAAACTTAGCAGCACAAAAAGGGAAGTTTTTTTCCTCTCTCTCTCCTTTTTTTTAAAAACGGGGGAAAATGGACAGTCTTGTCTTCTCTGTGAGGAATGATACACCATTGACTTTTGATAATATGCAGAATCTAGAGCGGTGTTTCTCAGTCTTGGCCGTTTTAAATGGGTGGACTTCAAACTCCCAGAATTCACCAGCCAGGGGGGAATTCACGGGGAAGGGCTGGGGAATTCTGGGAGTTGAAGTCTACCCATCTTAAAAGTGGCCAAATTGAGAAGGACGGGTCTTCAGGGACTGTCAGTGGTTCATTATAGCTAATCCTCATCTTACGGCCATTCGACATTACAATCGTTTTGAAAAAAAGTGACCATGGGTTCTCGCACTTACGACGGCCACAGAATTCCCCACGATCACACTAATCAAAATTCCGGGCAGATTGGCATCTGGCATGTATTTATGGGTTATGTGATTATCATTTGTCACCTTCTCCGCTGACATCCGACCAGGAAAACCGATGGGGGGGAAGCCACATTTTCTTAATGACCTTAATGATTCATCTGCAGTGATTCTCTTAATAACCATGATAAAAAATCATCATAAAATTGGACAGGACTTGCTTAACAACTGACCCTGCGTAGAAACATAAATTCTGGCCCCAAATCTCTCTCTCTCTCTATATATAAAAGTATCATCACAATTTCTTCAGGACCGTAAAGCCTACAATCTTGAAATTTGGCACGTATGTTCCTCTTGGCTTCTAGGTACTCGCTAAGAAAGGATTTTTTGAAATGACCATCCAGAGCATTAGTATTTCCTATATTATTATTATTATTAACAGGCTCTGATGCTAAGGAGTTCTACTCCCCCTCCCCACCTGAAAAGGAATCTCTTCCAAATGCAGAACACAAGCAGAGGAGCTTCAGTTTCACAGCACCAAGCAGCTTTAGTACAGAACAGTTGAGCTAAGCCACGCCTAGGCTCCTTGCTGTCTCCTTGCTCACACAGCAAATACTCTTTCAGTTTCCAAACAGCCCTCCATTCTCTCACATACTGACAGACCGCTAGCCAGAGGAATACCGATGGATGCTGGTAGGCAGAGATAGAGTCCCCCCCCCTTGTTTTCCTCCCCCAAAACTAAGCTTGACCACACAGCGAAGCACGGGTATCCAGCTAATATGGTCATAAGTCAAGGACTTATGGTGGAGTTGCAGTTCAGATTCTTCTTCTGCTTTGCTTCTCTTAATCCAAACTTCCTTGGATTGTAGTAACCCCAGCAATGGGGTGGAATTCCTAGGGCTGCAGTTTGCCTGAAAAATTCCTAAGGCAACAAGCATTGAAAACTTGATCCGAATTAGACAGAAGGACCAGGTTTTAGTCAACCGTAGTCTTGCTTGGCTGCTGACTGTCTCAGAGTCTATCGAACCTGGTCACTTGCTCCAAACCTGTCAACGGGAGAGAAGAAGCGGGAACCAAGCATGGGAAACAGAAGACCTCTGGGAGGCCTTCAGGCCAACCAGAGCTAGACTCCGAGCAAAACTCCTAGAGGACTTTCTTAGCCAAGCAAGGTCTTGGGGTGCTTGTTGACTCTTTCTAATGGTCTTTCCTTCTCCCCTGCAGGATGCCAAGGCAAGAAGGTCCAGGTGTCTATGGTGGCCGAGATGGAGGTGGTTATGGGCCAGCAGGTACCCATCCTCTGCCCTTACACACCGATGGAAGAGCAGGATTACCTCCTGGTAGAATGGTTTACGGTGAGTATTGTGGGTTTGCCAAGGAGAAGAGGGCATAGTTGGACTAGGGTCAGGGTTAGGGAGCAGCGATGGGATTCCACATTTTTTACTACCACCGGTTCTGTGGGCGTGGAGTGGTGCGCGTAGAGTGGTGGGCGTGGCATGGTTTGGTGGGCGTGGCTTGGTGGGCGTGGCAGGGGAAGGATACTTTAAAATCTCCATTCCCACCACATTCCAGGGGAAAGATATAGTGCAAAATCCCCTTTCCCTCCCCATCCCACTAACCTGCTTTCCAGCTCCGTTCTCCTGTGCAGGGCAACCAAAGGAGACCCACCCAATCAGCTGGGACCCAACGGGAGGCGGAGCATAGATGGGGTTGGCGGAGCCAGTCAGAGGCGGGATTGGACCAATGGTACCAATAGTAAAAAAAAAAAAAAAGAAATGAATCCCACCAGAGGCTGTTCTCTAAAAGGTCGGAGAAATCCGTAAACACGTCACTATGTCAAACTTCCAGATGGACAGGAATGGTGGGCAGCAGCGCGTGGCCTACAATGTGAAGGGGACGGTAGGCGTGGACCGAGGAACGGAGTACACGGACCGTGTCCACATGGATTCCAACAACAGCCTGGTCATTACTTCCATCGATGTGAGCGATGAAAAGTTCTTCTCTTGCCAAGTGACCAGCGGTTCTGGGAGTGACACTGGAAGGACCCAACTCAAGGTCTTCGGTAAGGGTATTTATATTTATCCTTTATATCCCTTTCATAAAGAACAAACATGTAATATTCCTCCTTCCTATTTTCCCCCACAACAACCGTTCTAAGAGGCGGGTTGAGCAGAGAGAATGGAACTGGGCCGAAGTCAAACTGGCCCAGCTGGCTTTCATGGCTAAGGCAGGACTAGAACTCACTGTCTCCTGGTGGTTGGCCCTGTCACCCATCCTCCATTCATGCCTAAGGCAGGACTAGAACTCCCCGTCTCCTGGTGATTGGCCCTAAGTCACCCATCCTCCATTCATGCCTAAGGC